AGAAGGGCCAGGCGGCACGCCGTGACCCCTACTCACTAGGGCGCTGCACTCACCATGCAGGCTTCATTAACTCCCAAAGACCTCGGCCCTCTTTCTGCCCCGCATCTGGTGGGAGATGCCTCGGAGATTCCAAATAGGTCAGCCAAATGTAATTTAAAGGTAGAGCAAAAACATATTTTAGGAATAAAATCTGAAGAAAAATGTGTTTCGTACGCCTGAGTCACATCAATTTGGAAAGAAATCTGATGCAAGAAGATAAAACGCCAGCTTCAGTAGCAGAAACCAACCACCACATCAAAGCGTGTCTTCTTCCTTTGGGTTGAAAACATGGCAGGCAAGCGGATCTAAAGAGCAGCCCGCTGATCATTTTATGGGCCTGGAAGAATGTTTTCAAAGGAACTTCCATTGCACAACAACTACTTACTTTAATGGGATTTGTGTGGTTCGGGCCCGGCAACCTTTGGAGAATTGAAGGGAGGGATAATTGCAAAAGCCACTAAAAACTGTTTAGCTTTTATTGCAAGGCCTATGAAAAGCAGCAAGATACAGCCGTGGTATTCGTTTGAGTTTCTTTGGTTACACTAAGCTGCAATTGCAATTGAGACAGCACCCTTTTAATGCGCGCCCCGATAGATGGCACACGGGTCACTTAATGGGGATGGCTGTTGCAGTGTGAGCTCAGTGCGTCACAACGACCAAAGCCAAATTTAGCAGCACATCTACACCTTCTCAAGAGTAGACCTGGTACCTTCCATCCCTGAACCCCAGCAACTGTCAAGAGTGCCCGGGTCTCTGCCAACGCAAGTGTCCAACGTGCAAGCTATTTCCACCTTAGGGTGCAGCTGCCAGACCCTGAGCGTCGCGTGACGGTCCTTGATGTGTAGAGTTTTTTTCTTTCCTGTCAACTTGGCAAGTGCCACTCTTTCTTTTCAGTCAAGTATCAGTCCTAAACCCTAGAAACGAGCATGAAAACACGTTAAATGTAATTTTGGGGCCATCTGTCCTTTGGAGAATACAATCCTTTTCCAAGGGACATAATTCTCAATCATCTTATCTACTTTACCTCTCTTAAGTCACTTTTCTGAAAAGATTCCTGATCGGAACCCCAATGAGACCCGATATAAAGCCAGCCTCCTCATGCAGTCCCATACTGGAACCCTAGCTTTCTTTTGGGACGAGGTGCATAATTTCCCCCTGCTGGCATTTTCCACGTGGCTCTGAGTCTATTTTATTCATTCACGTATTTCTTTTTTGTTCAAATTCGAGTTCGTTAACATACTGGGTCATCTTGGTTTCGGGAGTAGAACCTGGTGATTCGTCTCTTACATAACGACTCCTGAGTCCGATTTAGTAACCTCAGAGTACAAAGTTTATGTTTGTACTCAAATGAAGCTCTAATCAATACTCAATAAATACAAATTAGTAGGTGTAAAATGTCCTATACTGTTATTATTATTACAGGAGTTCAGCTGCTGAACAAGTTACCTTCTCTTTGATGAAAAATAAAATTCTGGCTTCAGATATGTAACCTACTCCCAATGTCTCTGTGGACGAATCACGTATATACTTATTTTCAATTCATTTTTAGATGTCAAAAAAAAAAAAACCACTGAAAAATAAGAATGTTTCCATCAGACCCAACTAAACTGCCACTGGCAGGTGGGCACAGTGACAGGGAGCAGAAGTTGAACTGGCTTCGGAATCAAGATGACCCGTGCTCTCCCACAGGCCCTGCTACTTCCTGGCTGTGTGGCCTTGGGTGAGACCCCTCCCTTCTCTGAGACTCAGTTTCCAAAACAATAAAACAGAAGACCACCTACCTCCCAGGTCATTTGGAAATGTAATGACCACACGGTAGGCATAAAGTCTGGCACATAGTAGGCATTTGGTAAGTGGTGGATTATATAGCTACTTCGTTACCCCTCAGAGACAGGCTGCTCAAAACCCCTGCTGTTGTTTCTTTTTTCCTTCTGTTCACTGTTTGTTGGTATTTAATCGGCAAGCTTTCTATCGTAGCCTAACAGTGGAGAAAGCGAGAAAACCATTCACATGTGTGAGAGGGCTTCGTTCGTTTGAAGGAGGGCAGGACTGAGACCTAGGGAGCTTGAAAAATGAGCAAAAGCCTTAAAAAATCAAGATCTGAGACATGGTGGTTGACCAAAAATTGTACCATAGAAGTCATGCACAGACATTTGTCCAAAAAGCCTCATTCGGGACATGTTCTGTCGTTAGTCAATCCTGGCTTTCTAACAAGACATTTTTCCTTCCTCACTTCAAATGTTGAGGAAACATTCAGAAAGCAGGCCGACTCTCCACTCAAAGACAGGGAAGCCATCGGTACCTTGAACAAGTAATCCCAGAAATGAATTTTAAGAAAGAGACAGACAGACAGGAAAAAGGAAGAAGGCCAAGGGCTAAAGCCAGGCTATGAAAATTCAATGATTTCCCAGCCTGTTTGCCTTGGGTTGACTAATTTGGTTGCCACATGTCTAAAAACACAAAACTTGGGTCATATTACTCAATATTTATTCAGTGACTTTTTTTTTTTTCTAAATGTCTGAGCACTTTGGTAAATGCCAAAGGGATGAAAAGAAAACCAAGAAAGGCAAAGTTCTGGGAAAAGAGCGAGCTCTGACTGAGATTTTAAAAGCTTTCTAAACTTGCAGTATTCCAGGTGTGTGGTCCCCTTGGAAGTGCTGATGTTCCGAGCAGGATTACAAACACAGCTCTAGATGAGCCATAGGCTCCTGCCTTCTTCTGGTGCCATTTTTTCCTTTGTAGTGAGACTGTTGTCATCTTGTAAATGACACAACATAAATCTTGACATGAGCAGTAGAAATTGGTGTCTTCATGGGAGGTAACCACCGTGTGTTGGTTTTTGTTTTTTTTTTTTGATGATTCATTTTTTTTTGGCAATAAATTGTAATGGTTTTAAAGAAAAAGCTGGTTAAAAAAAACAGCTTTAAAAAAGCACAACTAAAAGCAGGAGGAATGAAGGAGGCGTACCTCATTAATGAGGAAGCTCAGCTCTTGGAAGGACAGTAGCGATGGAACAACTCTTTTAGTTGGAGAAAAAGACAATTATGAGGCATTTAAATACTTGAGAGCAGGGGCGCGACTTGCACTTCCTTAACTTTGTCATCTCAAGGGTTTTCTCTCTCTCTCTCTCTCTCTTTTTTTCACCTCAAGTTTTAACTGTAGGACAACAAGCCCACAAGAGAGAAAGCCACGGGGAACAGAGAATTCACGTTTCATTGCAATAAAAGACGGGGCCAAGGTAATTCTGTAACAACACCACATAGAGTAGAAGAGGGAGGCCGGAGAGAAAATAAAAGCCCCTCTCAGGTGTTGCCCCAGTCTTTGACATCAGACTAAGATGAAGACCGAAATATACTAAAATGGTCAACCTAAGAAGCTTGGTATTTTTAAATAATGTTTAAATGAAAGGAAATCAAAAATTGTCCTTCAAGAATAAGAAAAACCACACAGTGATATAAAGCTGAATGTTTTTTGGAGGAATATGCCACACCGTAACATCGCTGCATTTCAAATTTCTCATCTGTCAAATGGGTTGTGTTGAGATATAAACAATACATGTTTTTAAAACTGTAATGATTAGGCATGCACATTTCCTTCTTTTTTTTTTTATTTTTTAAAGATGAGAATTCTTTTTTTTCAAATGTTTATTTATTTTGAGAGAGAGAGACAGAGAGAGAGAGAGTGAGAGTGCACACCTGAGCCAGGGAGGGGCAGAGGGGGAGAGAAAGAGAGAGAGAGAGAGAGAGAGAGAGAGAGAGAGAGAGAGTCGTAAGCAAGCTCTATGCTCAGTGCTCAGCACAGAGCCCATCCTGGGGCTCGAACTCATGAACCGTGAGGTCATGACCTGAGCCAAAATCAAAGAGTCGGATGCCCAACCAACTGAGCCACCCAGGTGCCCCTTCTATTTTGTTTTAAATGCTACTATGGAGCAATTGTGGAGAGGGCTTTGGAGTGGCAATCAGGAGGCTCACATTCTACCCCAGCAACATTCCTGGCCAAATCTGTGATGTAAAGCCTCGGCGGACTTACGGGCAAAGTTACAGGTTGGAGTAGGTGACTAAGATCTCTTCCAATTCCAACATTGTGGGTTTCTACAATTGTTTTATATTTTCCATATCTTGCCCAATAGAAAAGTACGAATAATTGCTTATTTAAGGCAATGTCTGAATCTTGTCCTTTGTTGTTATTGTTGTCATATTTTTGTTTTGCCTTGTTTCGTTTTGTCTTTGTTCTGGAACATCCTTGGCTAGGTGTTATATTGGAAGAAGATTATACTGTAATTACCCATGCCTGGAGAAAACCCAGGTGATTGACCTGTTCCTCTATATCCAGAGCATACTGCAGAGGTCAGTCTCCAAGCTGGAATCAATGTGACTATTTTAAAAGAAATTTTAAAAAGCAGGGGGTCAGAAAGTGCCTGGTGGCTCAGTTAATGGTCTGACTCCTTCAGTCAGTTAACCATCTGCTCTTGATTTCGCCTCAGGTCATGATCCCAGGGTCGTGGAATTGAGCCCCAAGTTGAGCCCCACGTCAGGCTCTGTGCTGGGCATAGAGCCTGCTTAAGATTCTCTCTCTCCTTCTCCCTCTACACCTCTCCCACTTGCACACTCTGTCTCTCAAATAAATAAATAAATAAATAAATAAATAAAATCCAGTCACCTTTAAGCACAGTCTAGAGAAAGAGGAAATCTGAGAGGTTCCTAAAGAGACAGCTATTCTAATCTTTAAATTTGCCAAACAGAAATGAGAATAACTGCTATTTCTTTTCTTTCTTCTACCGGCCTTGACCTCCTAACCACGGCTTAGCTAACCGTGGCCTTGCTGAGAACACTGTCTATATCAACCACCTTAGGCTAATCCCAAAAGTGACATCACTAACAATGGTCACACTCAATCTTGACCTTCACAGGTTTTCACTAGCACCCAGTTCATTCATTTGAACAAATGTTTACTGAGCATGTGCTAAGTGCCAGGCAAATAGGTGCTCTGAGAAATGTCGACAAACCCTTTCAAGAACTTCATCCCTGGTTTGGGGAAAGAAGTCACAAGTACTTGAAAAGTAAAGTGACAGTAACCAAGAGATATTCCAGGAGGGGTGGCAGCCAGCAGAGCCAATGATAGGCAAGGGAGGAGGGCAGAGACAGCAGCATGAGTGGTAGGTCCAAAGACAGTCTGTAGAGGTTTTCTCTGTCCTATGAAAGTCCAGCATCCCTCTCTCAGCCACATTGTGACATGTCACTCCATCACCCTACTCTAGTTGTAATGCAGACAGTGGTGACATTTTCCTCGTCTTTCATTTACATCCTTCTTTCACCTTGATTCTGCCCAACTCCACAAGCTTACCTGGATCCACTGACTCTTTACATCGATGGCTCCTTCCTTCTCCAAGCCTCAGTTTACCTGTCAGCAATTCACAAGGACCTTCTCTGATCACCAACCAGAAGCAGCCTTCCTATCATTATTCTCTGCCCAGCATCTGAACCATCTGCTCTACGACAACCCTTCTGACCACCTGTAATTACTGCTGCTGACTGCCTCACTCGAATACAAGCTCCGCGAGGAACGATTTCTGACTCGTTACCTGTAGCGTCCCGGCATCTGGCGTTAGTGTCTGGTACATTTTAGGCACTTGTCTTGGGACGACTGAATGAATATGTTAACCGTGCTTGGTGACAATGCCTATTTGGCACAGCCTGATCGGTTCACATTCAGCCACCAAACCTGACAGCCCCTTCGGGGATGAGTCTCAGGTGAAGTCTCGGCACACAAATTTTCCTGAGATGAAGGTTTACTTCACTCTTTATAAGACACGTAAATTCCAAGAGCGTGTGTTATCCATATCCAGGTCTTTCACGAACTTTCTCCGTGCGAGACTTTGCATCAGTAATTAGCTCCCCAAATTAGAAGGCAAGCCTGGAAGGCGGGTGAGCCAAGCCTATAGAATGGAACCCCCTACATCTTGGCAGCCCCCAATAAATGTTTGGCTTTGATAATGATGACCCGTATGGAATTATTGACCATTTTGGACATGCCCTGGCACGGTCATGTCTATGTGCCAAAAAATATGTTTAGCTTTGGGTTGTATTTTCTTCTAGTTAGTCATTTCTAGTCACTGTGTTTTCTGTTCCTTTTCACTGGCAGAGGAGCTTGGGCCAAAGCCTGGCTACTTTATTCTCTACCATACAGCGACATGACTCCCTGCCAACCACACCTAAACCTTAATTATACGGTGATTTCCTCTCCAAGGATGTGTGACTGTTTTAACCAGTAAGAAAGCTGATGCACTAAGGTCACATGAAGTTAAAAAAAAAAAAGTTTTGGGCAAAACACTCAAAACTCCATGCGGAATAATCTTAGTCCACTGAATCATGTCCCCTGTTGTTGAACAGCCCTAAAGAACTCCTTGTTAATAGGTGATTCTGTCCGCCTGGAGTGGAAACCTATGAGTAATCTATGTGTCACTGTGAGTCATGTCATGGCCACCACTTCCAACTCCCCATCATCTGAAAGTTGGCAAGAAGAATTCAGACTGCTCAACTCATAACAGGAAGAAGCCAGGACGGAGGAAAGACCTAATAACCAATTTTATTGATTAAAAAAACAAAAGATATCAGAAAAGGAGGCTAACCCAAGGTAAGAACAATGGCTTCTTCGTCGCCACCGAACACATTCTCTTCCTTGGCATCTGTTTCCAATGTGCCTCTGGTGCTAACACAGGTGCTCTTCCTTCCACAACCTTGAGTCTTTTTCCAGATTTCCCCTAGTTTTAGAGGGCTTTCAGACTTGTAAATTACTTTCAAGAAAGGACTTTGATAGCAATATGTTGAAGCAAGAGGAAGGACAAACGGGGGCAGGCCAGTGTGTAATCCCACTACAGCCATTCCCCAGCCATCGATAGGACTTTCGTTTGCCAGCTTTCTTCTTATTACACTTCCATTCCTCTGCAATTCCAATTAAAATGGCACAGAGTTAATGATGTGATTAACTTACTGGGAAGTCAGCACATTCAAAATAAAGTGTCTCGAGGATAAACTGGAAGATTTTATGAACTCAAGGGACCCCAGTAAAGGACATATACTGATTCGGTAGGTAGGTGGAAGAAGAGATTTTGGAAAATCAGATTTTATAAGCAAACTGTTTGCCATAAATTGGTTAAAGGAAAGTATGTGTATGACAGTGGGTTTAGGCAAAAGTGGGGACATCTTAGCGTGTACAATTTTTTATGTAGCCAACGAGGGAGTTATTTAGAAGGACGTCTGCTCCTCTTTGGCTCTTCAGACATGTTTTGCAGACCCTTGCTGGACTCCTTCATCTTATTCATTTGATTATTTCTATCAAGGTTTTTTTTAGGGATAGTGATCACACCTCCTTTGGTAGCATCAGTAAACTTCTTCCTTTACTACAGATCTGTTAGTTTGGGGATAAAGCTCCTTGGTTAGAAGGATCCTTGTGATTTTCTTTCCTGAAGACTTCAGTTTTAGATTGAGTCCCAGCTCTTCCCAAGGCTAAAGGGACACTAGCTTTGCCGGCCGCCGTGGTTAGGTGGTCACCAAATAATATGAGATAGTTAACTTCTTGACCGGAGAGAGCCCATTTTTTAATATTAAAGCTTATCTCTAGTCACAGCCCCAGACCAGATTTATTCAATAGTTTTATACCCCTTCTCACATTTTCCACAATTCAATATTCTAAAAAGTTTTTTCATAGAATTTTATCATTAAGGCTTTACATAATGGTTAGGGGTGGGGCTTCAGTGGATTAGAAGTCAGACAATGTGGGGTTTCACTCTGTCCCTAAAAAGTCATGTGATTTTTTTTTCCAGCCATGTTATCATAAGAATGTAACTTTGCCAAGTGGGTTTCCATTTCTATTGCTGTCAAAAAGGGTATTGCACTAGATTGTTTCAAATATCTCTTCCTGATTTTAACTTACAAATTCCTTTTCAAATACTTGACCAATGGAGAAATCTAATAATAATATCTTTACTCCATGTTTGTAATCTACTTATTTAACAATGGATTAACTAGAGTTTATATAATTCCACAGCTACAGATTTCTATAGTCAAATGTGTAATGTTCTTGATGTCCTAAATAACATTGCTGTCGAGTTTTGCGGATGTCAGGGTTATTTCAACATTGTATGGATGTTTATTTTCTTTTAAGTATGTTTTAAAGAAAATGATCAGATCCGGCAGGTATTCAAACAATTGAGAAGACAGCAAAGATGAAAAACTGCTTTCGCAAAGTTCTTGAATTTTAAAATAATTTTACACTGAAGGATGGGGCGACATATTTCTCATAAAATGTCTGCGTACCTGTGCACGCATACGTGGCACGTGTGGGTGTCTGTACGAGCGTATGTGTGACTCAACTCAGAGAATCCTGGGTTAAACTATAACAGCGCTATAAACACGAGAACCAGAAGCAGATCCAATTGCCCACAGCGAAAAGGACAAACCTGTGGCACTGTGAAAGATCTTACTTGTTTGGGCTTTCTGTAGAGCCCACTAAAACTGCTGAGACCTATCATCATTACCTAGTCTCATGCCAACTATATCTGGTAACGCACTTTGACATATCAGTTTCTAGGTAGACGCTCCAAGACAATGGCTCATGTGATATCCGTGCCAGCTGGAGTCAGCTGCAAACAAAACACACACACACACACACACACACATACACACACAGTATTTTAAAATAGATATTTCAGATGTTTCAAATTTAAATAAAGCAAGGCGGAGTGTGTGATGTTCCAAGCAAAGTCAATTGCCAAGCTGTGCTGGTTGGTACAACCAAGTGCTGTATCAACGGAGCCATAAATTGCTGCATAACGCAGACATGGCGGAGGGAAAGTGGCAAGAAAAAAAAAAAAAGAGTGTGTGTGCATTAAAGATGAATCCCTAAGGATACTCTTCCATGAAACTCTGAGAGTTTCCAAAGTGACACCATCCCACCAGGACCCACGGAATATGTGAGCCTTTGGAACCATTTGCAGTATGTGTTTCAAAGTCCAGACAAAGCTACTAGGCAAGTTTTATTGGTCCCTCTAGAAAGCAGTTTTTTGACAGGGCTGGAAAAATGATGTTACAAAGGATCCAGTAACAACAGAGTCTAGGCCTGTTAGTTAGATTCCAAGTTGATGCCTCTTCCAAAAGCAGAGCATCCAGAAAAACACCATATTCCCCGGACTAGGAGAGGAGGTCCAACATTGAGGATTGAGAAAAGTTTGGTAGATAGCCTATTATACGCAGGGTGCACATCTGTTGGTGCAAATCTGTTTTACCCTCTTATTTGTTTCAACAAAGACTATTACAAAGGTGAGTTTCTCCAAGATCATCCCATGTGGGAACTTGAAACAAACGACAGGAGGATGTATGTATCGCTGGCTTTCCAAAGTCTATCTTGCTTCTCAAGTTTCTTTAAAAACTAGTACAGCCGAGAAGACAAGTTTGCATGCATACAGTCCTGTACAATGACTTCAGTGACCAAAGGCCAATGAATCAATTACATCACATGCACCCTACTTAACCTTTGGGTATGATGAATATTCGGAGTGTGTTTTTGTGGTCTCGAGCCAAAAATTAACCGCAGCCTAGAGGTTGTTGAACCTCAGGAAAATCTCTGTTCCCCACTTTATTTTCAGTGCAGTTGGGGAGGACAGAATTCCATTAGAGAGAGACAATGTCATTGTGTTCATAACTGTGCAGTTGAGAGGTTGCATTTATATGGTGCCTTTCTTCCAAGGATCATAAAACACCTCACATATGCTATTTAGTTTATATTTCAAACGTCTTTATGGTGTAAGAGCACAATGCAGTTTCACAAAACAAATGTATGAATAATTTATAGAGTTTAGCAAAACTAAGCAAAGTAGCATTTATTAAATTTAATATAGAGGGGAAGCCAACATCTACTAACATGCGGAGAAAAAAAATGGTCAGTAGGTGGGTACATTATGTTTAACCTTTAGTGAAAATCTTAATTTTATTTTACTTTTCTCAGCTTCTCCAGATCACATTAATTACTCTCTTTTCTTAACTCTAACTGCACTAAGTGCTTGAGTCTGACAATTTAGTACATTGTTACACACCATCATATTATCTTCTTTGTTTTCTATGGGTTTGAGTCTCAAGAGCTACTAAGCAGAGATACTGGGGTATATTGAAAATGGCACTAGAAGGCCGAACTCCAGGGTGCCAATCTTGCCTCTGTTGCTCCTTATCTGTCGGCAAGCTCCCTCATCCTTCCCACGCTCCAGTGTTTTTACGAAAAGGTGACATTAAAGTCTGAAATGTCTTCAAGGATTGCAAGTGAAGTTCAAGTGAGATGACTTTTCTGAAAGCACGAGGCGGATAAGTAAGGCAATATCACTGTAAACTCCGTGAAGGCAGAGACAATATTTTGTGTCTCTTTTACATACTTTCTAGGATCTGATGTTGGATGAATATGATTTCCCAAGTAAGGACTTAATAAACGTTTCTTGGTAACAATCACTGGAGCACTTACCATTTGCCAGGAACCACTGTTAAGCGTGTTACATGGAATATTCTCATATTTTGCTCCCCGAAGAGGTCATGTTATTATTAATCCCCGTGCTG